TCCCTCTGGATGGCAGTGCAGCCCTCTGGGGTATCAGCTACTCCTCCCCGTTTGGTATCATCAGCAAACTTGCTGAGGGAGCACTCTGTGCCTTCATCCAGGTCATTGATGAATAAATTGAACAGGACTGGACCAAGGACTGACCCCTGGGGGACCCCACTAGCCACAGGCCTCCAACTAGACTCTGCACCGCTGATCACCACTCTCTGGGCCCTGCCATCCAGCCAGTTCCTAATCCATCTCACTGTGCACTCATCTATCCCACACTTCCGGAGCTTGCCCAGGAGGATGTTGTGAGGGACGGTGTCAAAAGCCTTGGTGAAGTCGAGATAGACGACATCCACCGCTCTCCCCTCGTCTATCCAGCCGGTCATTTCATCATAGAAGGCTATCAGGTTAGTCAGGCAAGATTTTCCCTTGGTGAATCCATGCTGACTACTCTTGAGCACCTTCTTGTCCTCCATGTGCCTGGAGACAACAGCCAGTATGAGCCGTTCCATCACTTTTCCGGGGACGGAGGTGAGGCTGACTGGCCTGTAGTTGCCTGGGTCCTCCTTCTTGCCTTTTTTGAAGACTGGCGTGACATTGGCCTTCTTCCAGTCTTCCGGCACCTCCCCCGTTCTCCAGGATCTTTCAAAGATGATGGAGAGCGGCTTAGCTATGGCATCTGCCAGCTCCCGCAGCACTCTGGGGTGCATCCCATCAGGGCCCATGGATTTGTGGGTATCGAGGTTCCTTAGGTGCTCTCTGACCCAATCTTCCTCTACCCAGGGCAAGTCTTCCTCTCCACCCGCTTCTTCTCTTGTCTCTAGGGCCTGGGGCTCTAATGGGCTGCCCTTGGTAAACACCGAAGCAAAGAAGGCATTGAGCAACTCTGCTTTTTCTGTGTTATTTGTAACCAAGGTGCCCATCCCGTCCTCCAGCGGACCCACGTTCTCCCTGATCTTCCTTTTGCTGTTAATGTATTTGAAGATTTTTTTTTTGTTATTTTTAACGTCCCTTGCCAGCTTGCCTTCCAGCCGTGCCTTAGCTTTCCTTGTCGCATCTCTGCACTCCCTGACTACGTTCCTGTATTTCTCCCAGGGGGTCTGTCCTTTTTTCCACATTCTGTATACCGCTGCCTTCTGCTTGAGCATTGCCACAAGCTCCCGGCTCATCCACGCAGGTCGCCTGCCCCCTCTGCCTCCCTTCCTACACACAGGGATGCACTGTTGCTGGACGTGGAGGAAGTGCCGCTTGAAAACTAACCAGCTCTCTTGGGCCCCCCTTCCTTCTAGGGCACTAGCCCATGGGATTCTACCGAGGAGGTCTCTGAAGAGGCTAAGGAGGTCTCTGAAGAGGCTAAAATATTAACTTGATAATAATATATGATAATATAATATATATAATAATATAATAATAATATTATATAATAATAATATAATATATAATATAAGAATAATATATGATAATAACTTGATATTCAGTTATATGAAAGTCACCAGACAGTACTGGAATGAGTTACTAAGATTTAAACAATTTCAAATTCACAAGTGAAATAAGAAGAAAAGTATTATCTTGATACAGTAACTTTCAACCCCACTGTACACAGCAATAAGATCTGATTAATAATATAAATTTAATATTCAGTTATATGAAAGTCACCAGACAGTACTGGAATGAGTTACTAAGATTTAAACAATTTCAAATTCACAAGTGAAATAAGAAGAAAAGTATTATCTTGATACAGTAACTTTCAACCCCACTGTACACAGCAATAAGATCTGATTAATAATATATCAACTGTGCTGGGAAGCAGGCACATCAGGGCCAAATCTGCCAGCTTAAAGATAAGATTCTCTCAGGCAGGCCCAGAACAGCACAGCCAGTTTCACATCCCTGTTAAGCCCCTCATGTCTGAGGGGGCTCTACGTAGATTCAGCTCTACTGTCTCAATACTCAGCTCCCAGACTGATAAGCAGCAAGAAAAGAAACAGTTTAATTGACTCTGTTCGGAGCTGGTGAGGAGCCCACAGGATTTCCTCACTTCAGTTCTTATCTTTGCAGTGGTCTCAAGCAAACATGCTGGACACCAAAGTTATTGTTGCAAACATCATTGTTTAAGTGAGAGATTTTATATATAGGAGTGTGTGTGCGTGTGCACACATATGTCTGTGTGTAGTCTGTATATGTGCATATACATACATATAAATGTATACATGATATATGGGTATATGAAAATTCATATACACACACATATCTGACAACACTTCAGTTAAACTTTCCTGTTTGCCCGGCTTGCCAGAAACACAGGAGATACCTGAGTCTTTTTAAATAGTCAGCCTGAAGCCAGAATTGGCTGTACTAATCAAGAACTATTGAGCAACTACTGAGCTTAACTCCTGTACTGGTTATTTCTAAGCCATGCCCTTGCAAAGGCCTGTTACCTTGTCACAGTGCTAGAACTCACCTGATTTTGTGCAGCAGTGAGCCAAGCTAAAAAAAACTTCAGTACCTGGAAGTCAAGCCTGACTTGATCAAAACTGATTCCTGCAGAACAATTTGTACACCAACTATAAAAATCTAAATCCTTGTAAGTAATTATCCTGGTACAATAAATGCTGGACTGTTTTCAGCACTGCACTAAAGCTCTTAAGCTCTCCCGTAACCAGAGGGCTGAGGGATGAATTCAAAAACACTTCAGCAGCTATACAGGAACCACCTTTGATATGGCTAGGCTTCCTAGTGGCCATGTGCCATTCAGCTCATCTCAGAGCTCTATGCTACTCCCAATTTCTTCTATATACAGTATTCTTCCCCACTGCTCAGGATATTCCAGCCTTTTCTACTAAGGATAACAAAGAATTAATACTATACATGGTAAGGTTGCTGCCATTTACCTTGACAACCTTGAAATAGGCAAGATGACCTTTCACACAGGCAGCAGCTACGTATTATCCAGAAGCTGGTCCTATTCTGCTGCTCTCAAATGTCAGGTTTTGCTGTGTGACAGTTGAAGGTTAGTCCTAACAGGCCATGGAAAAAATTTAGGATATTCTTATTTTCACAATACCAGTCTTAAATATCATTGAAAACTACTTTAAAATAGAGTCACAAGCTCAATAACTGAGTTTTTTTTTTTTTTGCGCTAGCTAACAATGACTAAATCTGGCTTTTGGAGACAAATAGGCACCTAGTACCTTCTATATGGTCTCCTTCAGCTGTCAGTCTTGCAAGGTACAAGTGTCCCATAGGGAATACATCATACATTCGAATGCCAGTAAAAGTTTTAGTTATTCTACGAAATCTCAAACAGCACCTGATATCTATAAGAACACATATCAAGCCATTTAACATCCCTGGTGTCTGTACACTGTAAACTTTTCTGCAAGATGGAGGTTGTGGTACCCTTCTTGAGCACCAGTGGAAACAACTGTTGGACGAGTCATTAAGGTAGTGCTGGTGAAAAGACAAAGGTTACGTTTGCTGTGGATTGCAGCACAAGCTTTCCACAGGGAAAACAAAACAAATTCTTCAACAGATAGGTGTATTTCTAAAGGAATTAATTCTAGATGACAAAAACTGGGCATATTGCAATGTACCATCAAGAATTAGCTCCTCTAACATTCTGAACTTTTAGAACCTCAGCAGGCTGAGTACAAATCTATTCAGAAATAGAATCATATAAACATAGAATTTAGAGGTCTCAAAGGGCCTCTAAAAAGGCAACTTCCCTTTTCACTTCTAGATGAGATTTGCTTCATATCTTGAACTTGGGACACAGGCAAACCTGTGTAAATACCATTATCACATACTTCAAAGATAGGAACCTGATTGTCACATGGGAGTCTTTCTACCTCACAATTAAACATTGATTTATGATGTCATGAATTCTACATGAATAATATCCCAATATCTAAAGGTAAATTCACTAGAGTAAAAAATATAAAACATACTAAGAATGAATACTTGGAAAAATAATTTGAGGCAAAAACCTACTAACCTGCTAGTGCAGTAACCATCCACTTTGAGCAACGAGAGGTGTTTTTTTAATCATATGAAACATTGTGCCACACAAAATTAGATTCTACAGCTACAATTTAAGCCCATATTCAAATATTAAAAATAAAAGATGTATCTGCTTGAATTAACACCTACTTAAGAAACTGCCAATTATCTATCAACACAACATTGAGGTGCTCATAAGTAGAATTTTCAAGTATGGAATATTCTCCCTATCATAACAGGGGAGTAAATGATGACATTATTTTTGTGCCTGTTACCTTGTCACAGTGCTAGAACTCACCTGACTTTGTGCAGAAGTGAGTCAAGCTAAAAATCTTCAGTTTGTAGTGTATGTTTCAGAAATTTAGTTTGGGATTCAGTGATGTATAGTTATTACTTATTCTTAATTACAATTTTCATTTATTTTGTTAAAGCAGTTCTAGCCATCACTTACCAAGTGCAGTTTACTTGCAGTACATTCTGTTCTTACCCATTTGTAGGGTAGGAACATTGATGCATTTTCTATTATCCTTTTTCTTTCTTAAGGTGCAGGACAATTTAGGCCTTTGACTAGAGCAGAAAAGATTTGTGTAACAGTAAATCTCAGTCATGAAACTCTTATACCTCAAAAAAAATTGAAGACTGGGTAAAAATAAGGGGAAAAATATGGCTACTAACCTTTTAAAATGCAGGATATATCTTATTACAAGCCTCAGATAGCAAGGCTATCTAGCAGGTTAGGTTTTTATCTAAAACGCAAGGATAAAAAACTTTTTCTAGAAGACTTAGAGCCCATAACGTGCCAATTTTTACTACCTGCAAGAAAGTCTGATATAAAGGCTTCGAGTCTTATACGGATTATACAAACTGTATGGTAGCACTTGGTCTTCAAAAAAATATGTCACAGATAAAAATGGAACATATCTGTCTTCACTCAGACGTGTTCTTAAGAAGTTCTACTTTACTTACGCATCGATAACATCTAGTGTCATTAAAATAGCTATTTGTGAAGCTGAAGGCAGGGAGAGAGGAAGCAAAATGAGCAACTGAATCTACGCTAGATTTTTTTTTTTTTTTCCAATCAGATGAACAGTTATACCTACTTCATTTCCTTTGTTTAGACATACAATTATTCCAAAACACACATAATAATCATATAAGAAAAATTTAACATGAAATAATAGGAAAAAAAAAAGAAAGGTGAGGAACTGTGACATGGAAAAGGATGTTTTTCTTTTCTATTGTTAAAGGAAAACAAAAAGTTTGGAGCCCTAATTCTGGCTTTTTGTTTGGGTCTATGCCAACAAATCAAAGGCTGTAAAGATCTACACAGCAAAGGGTGTAGAGAGGATGAGACTGGCTTCTCTGAGTGGTGTCCAGCAACAGGGGAAGTGGCAAAGGCCACAAAGTGAAACACAGGAAGTTTCATCTGAAGATGAGAAAATGTTTTACTGCAAGGATGGCTGAACATTGGAATGTGACAGAGGCTGTGGAGTCTCCTTCCTTGCAGATATTCAAAACCTGCCTGGACATGGTCCTCAGCAACCAGGTCTAGCTGACCATGCTTGTGCAGGGGACCTGGACCAGATGATCTCCAGAGGCCACTACCAACCTCAACTCCTCTATGATGCAGTAACACAAACTTCTCTACTTTCCTAATGAGCACAACTAAAAACTACCATTTCAGGTTTTTGAACTGACAGGAATAGAGCTGTTCAAACAACAACAGCAAATTATCATAGTACAAAAAGTATTAGTGTTTGATTAGACAATAATAAAAGAAAGAAAGAAAGAAAGAAAAAAAAAAAAAAAACACAATTTCTCCTACTATTTAATAAATCACATGAACCCTCACAAAGTTTCTTGTTTTGCTCTATGTACCAAAATACACAATGCATAATGCCAGCTTTCCTCAAAGATTTCTGTTTATAGCATTCTTTTTTTTTTCCTAGAAAAAAAGAAAAATGTGCATTTATTTATAAATTTAATGCAAGTCACACAACAAATATCACTGAGAACATTTAACGGAATTGTTGTTTCAAGTACTTACCTTCCTATGGAGCAAATTGCTTTACACATGTAGCAAGGCTTTCTGATAAAGTTTTCAAGGTCATAAAGTAAAACAACACCATCTGACCCTCCTGATAACATGCTGAAAGTGTATATAAAGCATACAAGTTACAATACTTCTAATCTAGATCTGCTCAAAATAAATAAAGGTTCATATATTCAACAAGAAAATGACTCTAATACCTAAACACAGTGAAGTACGCATAAAAATTGCTTATCAAACTAAGGCTTATACTTACTGTCTTCCTTCAATAGGCTCAATATCAAGGGAGTTGATACCACACCCATGTATTCTTTCCATATCCCTGTCTTTATTTAAAACCAGACTCAGAACTCTTAAAAATAAATAAGAAAAAAAAATACGAACGAGCATAACAATGCTGTAAAATGTTACCCATGTAGCTGAGAACAGAACAAACTATAATTTCCCCTTTCCTCAATGCGTTTAATCACTTTTTTTTTTTTTTTGTAAAGCTAGACTTACAAACATGATACAGAACTGAAAATAAAAACTGTGAAACTTACAGGAAAAAAATATATGTTGCTTGAAAAGCAAAAGGTTAAAAAAAGTTATATAAAGGAAACTGAAAGGAATATCAAAACTGTACTTGGGGTCAATATATTAAAATTAAAAACAGAAATGTAATAAAAAAGTAGAAG